TATCCACTAAGATTTCAATCTTTATAGATAAAGAATTTAATTCGTAATGCTACGCATCAGTTTCCCATCACTGTGTTAACTGCTTTTTTTCTGGTTCTTGTTTAGCTAATGGGATGTTCCCTTTTCCACCTTTTTTATCTTCAGCTTCATACTACTCACTGTATTTGAGTAGTATAGTTCATGTTTCATTATAATGTTTCTTCTTCACACGCTTGACTGTTCTTTCTCTGCGCTTGTATCTTATGCGCCGTTTAACATCCACAGATATCAGTGTCTTTCATAGTTCATGATGTCCGTGTGATTTCTTTCTTTGTTCCTTGATGTTCTATTTTACCTTTGACATTTGTTGATCTTGCGTCTTTACCTCATTGTGAGAACTAACGTGCTTCTTTTACATTCCCCTCCGGTAGCTTGGACACAGACTTGGTGTTTTACTTCCATATTAGATTTGTTTATTTGATATAAAGCGCACAGTGATACAGTATTATTTAATTGATTACGTTCGAGCATAAATTATTGCTCATAATCATATCATGTAATGAATGTAATGACTGTGAAGTCAAATACATAGGTCAAACTAGCCGGTCGGGTCAGTTAGATTAACAGAACATAGGAATTTAGCTAAACATAGAACGCAGACCCCAATAAGATCAATAACCTAGAAAAACACTCGCCATTGCATTACATTCATTAACACACAACCACACAATAGGATGGGACAAAACCACTGTACTTAAGTCTAATAGCTAGGTGGAGAGAGAGATTAATTACTGAATCTTTGTTCATCGAATCACACCCAACACATGTAATAGGAATGACGCAACACCTATACCAGAGATATGGAAAACTTTACTACCAATCAAAAACAAAAAAACAAAGAGAGATCAGGTGACAGGACTATAAAATCAGATGTCGAAAGAAGTGTGATTACATTGATATGATTATAGCAATAATTTATGCTCGAAACGTAATCAAAAATAATACTGTATCACTGTGCGCTTTATATCAAATAAACAAATCTAATATGGAACTACATTCTACCACAGTGCCCAAGTTTTTCACTTATATTAATGAAACTTATGGTCTTCCTGTTCGAAGGCTATCAATAAACTCACACGACTTTCACAAACTGAAGCACGTTTCACAAATCATCGTATTTTCAATATTCGTTGCATGAAAATCAAATTATCCCTAAATACTTCGCATAGAATCCAATATATACTGACAAAATCAAAGGCAATAGAACATCAGCAAACTATGTCTGAAAGAAGAAATTCACAGGATTATTAAGAAATTAAGTACCATTCGGAATAAAATTGAACAACTTAAATGTAAAATTATGAAGATAGTAAACTGCAGAGACTATGGATTTATAATAGAAACATCAGACAAAGCAAGATTAGCTACTTCAAGAAATCTAGAAGAATCAAATCAAAAGTTCAATAAACTAATGCAAGAAAAATATGCTTCGGAAAACAATAATTACAAAGGAAACATCATCGAACATCGATAGAACAAAGTGGTATCAATCTCTCCTCGAAAGCCTTAAGCTCACTGAGATGAAAGTACTTGAAAAAGGACTAAACTTCAACATAACAGTAGATCATCTAAAACCAGAAGATGTCATACCTAGCATAGAAGTAGCATTAAGCTCGGTGGATGTGACAACTGCTGAACAGGTTAGAGCGCAGTGTGCATTAGCACTTAAAAAACAAAAGAAGACACAGCGAAACTTAACGAAACTGGAAAATTCAGCTTTAAACAATCTACGAAAGGATAATAGTATAGTAATTGCTAAATCTGACAAAGGTAACTCAACAGTAGTTATGGACAAATCGGATTATCTTAAAAAAATGGATGAACATATCCAAACAGGGCCATATGAAGAGATTAAGAAACCTATAGATACTGTCATGAATAAAATTAAGAAATCTACAACAGATCTGATACGCCGACTGAAGCCATCTCTAGGTAAGTCCGAATGGTTTACTTTAATGCCAAAAACTAATAATCCTAGCAGAATTTACGGTACTATTAAGGTTCATAAAGCAGGTTATCCCATTAGGCCGATAGTTGACTTCCGAAACACACCAACATATGAGATATCAAAGTATTTAGCATCAGTATTACGTCCTGTTAGAGACCGTTCCAACTCTAGACTAGTAAATTCTTACGAGTTGAAACAAAAACTTAATGACCTGCACATAGAAGAGGATGAAAAAATGGTTAGTTTTGACGTAACAAGTCTTTATACTAAAATACCAATCAATATGGCACTGGAGGCAGTCAGAAATCAACTAGATACTGACTCACAACTTACTCAAAGAACCAAGGCATCGGTTGGTGAAATCATGTTAGGAGTGCAGTTATGCTTAACCTCGACAGTCTTCAAGTTTCAGGGAAAGATTATAGACAAACAGAAGGAGTAGCAATGGGATCACCAATATCCCCTATAGTAGCAGATATATTTATGGATAGTTGGGAAGATATGGCTTTACGAACATATAATCCGACACCTAAGATATGGTGGCGATATGTAGATGACACATTTACAGTGTTGAAATCGGAACATATCGACAGTTTCTTGACACACATAAACTCAGTAGTTAACGCAATCCAATTCACCACGAAGTAGAAAATGAACAAGGAGAATTACCTATGTTGGATTGCAGAATAAAACGAAGGATAGATGGTGGTTTAGATACTACCGTCTACAGAAAACCAACACATTCTAACAGGTATCTAGACTTCAAGTCATCTCATCCAGTGTCAGTTAAAGCGGGTTTAGTCAAATGTCTAAATAACAGAGCTGAGAAACTCACTAGTCATTGTAAGGACTTAAATAAGGAATTGAAACACATAAAAGAAGCGTTAATAATTAATAATTATCCCCATCATTTTATTAAGAAATTCACACGGACGCATAAGAAGCAAAATAATAACACTAATACAAATACAAATAATAGTGACAACATAAGTAGAAAGGAAATCAGCACCTCTATTGTGATACCATACAAGGAAGGAACATCAGAAACCATACGTAGGATTCTCAACAAGGTTGGAATTAGGGTGGCATTTAAACCAACAAACTCACTTAGAGGTAAGCTTTGTCGGCTAAAAGATCCGATAGAACCAATTAAGCAAAATAATATAATCTACCAAATTCCATGTAATGACTGTGAAGTCAAATACATAGGTCAAACTAGCCGGTCGGGGTCAGTTAGATTAACAGAACATAGGAATTTAGCTAAACATAGAACGACAGACCCCAATAAGATCAATAACCTAGAAAAACACTCAGCCATTGCATTACATTCATTAACACACAACCACACAATAGGATGGGACAAAACCACTGTACTTAAGTCTAATATAGCTAGGTGGAGAGAGAGATTAATTACTGAATCTTTGTTCATCGAATCCACACCCAACACATGTAATAGGAATGACGCAACACCTATACCAGAGATATGGAAAACTTTACTACCAATCAAAAAACAAAAAAACAAAGAGAGATCAGGTGACAGGACTATAAAATCAGATGTCGAAAGAAGTGTGATTACATTGATATGATTATGAGCAATAATTTATGCTCGAAACGTAATCAAGTAAATAATACTGTATCACTGTGCGCTTTATATCAAATAAACAAATCTAATATGGAACTACATTCTACCACAGTGCCCAAGTTTTTCACTTATATTGGTGTTTTACTGTAGACGCACTCTTTGCAAGTGATTTGAATGCGATAAACATACAGATACCTCATGATTCGAAGTTTGTATTGTATTACTGAATATTGTTTATCAATATAGAACCGTATTTTAGAGAAATCATGTGTTTTGGATTTGACGCGTTTTGTTTATTGATGAGAAGTCATTTTTTCCTTTTGGTCCCGAATTTCTTGGGAAGAAATTCACATTATGTACATGAAAAAGCTTACTTTGAGCTTACAATTCAGTGGAGATGCAGGAGATAAAGTACCAAGACGTAGACTAGTAAATGTTGTCAAAAGAAAATCCTATACAGTCATTCTGCAAATAACTTACTGTAGCCACTCAACTGTGAACATGTGTGTGAAGGACAAACTGCCGTTGCAAGCCACGTCAGTGTGCATATATGAATTCGCCTACTACTGGGGAGCTAGACATACGCAAAGACAGACTGTCCAACATCGATGCCGACACCTCCCAGCTTGGCTCAGTAAAAGTCAACACATCAATCAATAGTTCCATATTACAACATTTAGTTGTCAGTGGACAGATCATATTGGCGATGAACGGTACCACTGGACGTTGAGGAGGACGCACACCTGTGGACTTTCAAGGGAAATGTCGTTCGATGGATGACGTGTCTATGTGGAAGAAGACGGGATGCAGACTTTTTCTGCTTTATTTAGGTCAGGTTACATTGGAAGGTATACTTCCGTTACCTCTTTTTCGAAACCTCAGGCGGTTGTCGTTGGCAGTTTATCTGCTCAGTCACACTAAACTTTATAAACATTGTGTTGGTGCTCATGCATAATTATGTAATTTTCTACAGAAATACGAAGCACGTTATGATCCTGAACATTTGGTTTGCAACACGCATTCCTTCAAGCATATACCTGATGATATAACTACCCATAGACCCCTGGAAACGTTTTCCGCATTCTACTTCTAATCGTACATGCGTAAAATAAGAAGTGGTGTACATTCGGGATTGGCTATTGCCAAACAGGCGGCATAGCATTTTGTTGAGGAGCTGTACATGGAGGAGAAGCTTGCCAAAGCAAAGGACACAATGCAAAGTAATCTTCAGAAGGGTCTGAGGAAACACTTAATTGGCATTAATGAAACTCTAGCAATACATCAGAAGGAACGGGAATTGCATTTCCAGAAGCCACTTAGCCATTCCCTCTCCTTATTCACTTCTTAATTCTTAACCTTTCCAGTCAGTAAGCCTAACTAATATCTCAACTTTCATATTGTTATTACAAAAGTAATTTTCATTCAACTCACTTGCAAATTCTTTTTTCCTTTGCTCTTTTACTCCTTGGTTTCAACTCACTTCTAATTACATTGTCAAATACTTTCATATTTCTCAGGTAATTTCCATTCTTATGTTATTTCTGTAGCTACAAATTAATAATAATTATTCAAATGGTACAAATGGTTGTTGACGGAATAGAAGAAGCTTTCGCTTAACTGGCTTCCACGTCTACAGTCCGTGGATCACTACTCCTTGTGGTTGTTAACCTGTTGTACAAGTAAAAAAGGTGAAAAGTGGTGATTAAAATGTGAAAATTCACTTAGTTCTGGGCAGATCCCAGGCATACATCAAGTGGGTATTCAGTCGGCGTTTAAAAGATTCAAACGAAGTAGCCTGAATCACATCTTCAAAAAGAGCGTTCCAGGGTTTAACAACTCTTATGGAATAGAAGTTGTGCCTGACATACAGCCTGCTATGTTCCAGGCTTAGTTTCTGTGCATGTCCTCTACGATTAGCGCTGCAGCTAAGATTTAATAAGTGACGGAGTGGATGGCCAGGTGTGCTCAGAATATTGTAAGTCATTATCAAGTTACCTCTTAGCCTTCTGTATTCCAGAGGATACAGATCGAGCGCAACCAGCAGTTCTTCGTATATTTTGGACTTAAGTCCTTGAACAGATTTTGTCGAACGCCTCTGGATGCGTTCTAGGCTTAGTTTGTCCTTCTGGAGATAAGGGGCAAAGACGATGGTCCCGAACTCCGAGTGAGGCCATATGAAGCTGTTGAAAATTTGGTGGAAGCACCTATGATCAAATTGCCCGAAAATCCGTCTAAGAGGGACTGACGCCAAATTCTCACGAAGTGCTTTTCTGTAACATTTGGCATAGGATTTTAAGTCCTGGGGGACCAACACGCCCAAATCCTTTTCTGTTAGTGACACTTCAAGTTCCATGCCGTTGAGGCTATATACACGAGATGCATCATGTTTTACGTGTATTACTTTGCACTTCTCACGACTGAATGCAAGTCCGTTGTTGACTGCCAACTGTAAAGTTGAGTCAAGTCTATTGATTAACAAAAACTGACATTTTTTTGACCATACCAACAATATTGATTCAGATGGTACAAATATCTGCAACTCAAATCAAGCATTTGACAGATAGAAATATGATGTACTTTTGTGCACTGAAAAGTCCATTTCCATATAATGTAACATTTTTCCCCTATTTTGTTATTGATTCGACAAACAGAGAGTTGGAAACAGTTTAAAAATGTGCCAGGGTACATGATACATTCAATGGACACATTAAGATGATTAAAAGAAAATAAAAGGGAGGATTTCAAGTTGTTATTCATCCTAGACTGACATCAGTTGAAGGGACAAAGGTAACCTGGGAGAACTGGACAGCTGCTTAGTCACAGCACGGGACTCCTCAGCAGTGCGCACCCACGACCGCACCAGGGGTTGAACCCGTCACCTTCCGATTCCGCGGCTAGCTCATTACCATTGAGTCACTAGGTCGGAACTCAATGCTCCATATTTCCAACTTCTGTTAGCTCACGATATAGCGAATTTGATGAAAAATGTTCGGTGGATAAATTTAGTAGCCCAAGGTTCAAGCAACCCGTAGGGAAGATTACAATTTTATCAATAGTACCTTTCATCATAGTTCATAAACGGATGTTTTGTGGTCTACTCTACAAATCGCCAACATTATAAGAAGACTCTCTTATTATTTTTTTCCGTATACTTTTATTATTATTTAGAAGTAGTATTCATCATGGAATGACATTAGTTGGGGAACCACTGGAAACCCGGGAGCACTGGAAAGCTGTTTCGTCCTAGTATGGGACTCTCCTCAGCAGCACGAACCCACGACCAGGTTAGGGACCGAACTCAGGACCTACAGGTTTCACGGCGAACGCGTTAACCATTCGGCCACTGGATTGGTTCTTGGCGGTTCACAATTTCCAACTTCTGTCAATTCACGATATAGCGCGAATGTCACCCAAGGTCTTCAGTTAGCATCCGCTTCACCCCACAGGTCACGGCTTCTCATTACAACTTCCTGATATCCATCTGAGGAGTCCCATACTAGGACGTAACAGATGTCCAGTGCTCCCAGATTTTCAATGGTTCCCCAACTAATGTCAGTCCATGATGAATACCACTTCTAAATTAAAAATCCCCACTCATCTCAAAAATACATTATTGTTATTATTATTATTATTATTAATAACTAACAAGTTATCACTAAACTTCCCTTCATTGTCTAATAGTAATAAATAACATGATACTTATTACTAAATTGAATTTAGTCATAATCGCGGATGACAGTAAATTTTTATTTTATTATTTGTCCCTTGGGTTCCTAGTGGAACACAGAGCGTCAACAGCACGTCACCATTTCACTGTATTCTCTACAGTCTTTTGGTTTAACCTGGCTCTATGACTACGCATGACCTTTCATTTCTTCCTCACACCATCTCCTCCATGTCACTATCAGCTGGGACGCCCAACTCGTTGTTTCTCTTTTGGATTCCACTCAAAGGCCTGGCTTTGCTTGGTGCATGATGCTCAAAACGATCTTCTCAGTGTATGTCCAATCTAATCCATCTTCACTTCCTGCTTCTGCATATTTATTGCGCGATGGGTTCTTGGTTGGTTCGTTGCCAGTAAATACTCTTCCTTAAACTCAAAGAGTTAGGTTATATATATATATATATATATATATATATATATATATATATATATATATATATATATATATATATATATATATATATATATATAGGTATTGGTTTCTCATAGCTGAATTAGACAGGAAGGAAAGTTTCAATTCAAAGCAAATGTAAGTACAAAGAGGAACTGGTGAATCTATAGAATAGGCTAGTTCATCAGTACTAGTAAATTTGACAAGGAATAAGTCTACAAATAAAGGGATCATAGATTTTTATTCTGATGAAAGTAGAAATAGCCAAAAACAACCTATTTTAAATATTCTCATCGATATAAAATACGATTACCATCTTGAAAATCAACTTACTCAACAAGTGAATAAAAAATGACCCGTTATTTTTCATTCAAAAAACTTACTGTGCATATTTTACAAAAAATGAAATTACATTTCACCATTATGTACAAGTTTTACTCTTCTATTAGTGGTTTATAAATGGTTTATAGCATACATACATTGGATTACACACAAGCACACAATAGAATGGGACAGGGTGAAGATTCTTAAAACTAACATAACAGGGTGGAGGGAGATATTGATAACCATTGAATCCTTGTTTATCGAACCAACACCTAATACATACAGCAACAGGAATAACTCAGCACCTGTTCCAGATATATGGAAAATCTTACTACCCATCTCACAAAGAGATGAGGAAATAATAATAATTATTATTATTTTACCCTTGGGGTCCTAGTGGAACATAGGGCTTCAGTAGCACGCCTCCATTGCACTCTGTTCTGTGAAGTCTTTTGAGTCTCACTCTACCACTGACGACAAGCTTTCATTTCTTACTCACACAATCTCCTTCATATAACCCTCAGGTGGGACGCCCAACTCATCGTTTCCTATGCAGATCCCACTCTAGAGCCTGGTACGTGATGTCGTCAGCTAGTCTTCTCAGTGTAAGTCCAATTCATCTCCACTTTCTTCTGCATATTTCTTGGGTGATAGGTTCTTGGTTGGTTTGTTCCCAGAGGAAATTAGGACTATATAAAGTCTGCCTCAAAGTTGTATAGTTATGTTGATATGACTATGTCCGAAAAGTAATCCAGTAAACAATACTGTTCCACACTGCATGATAAATCTAAAATATCAATAAAAATGAATTGCATGCTGGAATATGTTCTTATCTTTCGATACCAATTAGTAGGACCTTTTGCACAACCAAACTTCATTTGAACTTTACTAGTTGTAAATTATTCTCCGTTTGTGTAAAACACAATGTTCCTCGACAGACCAACTCCATGCGTATCTACCAGTCCACCTGCTTCTCTGGAGCAATATACATCAGTCGTAGTCATAGACTGCTGTCAACAGAAGTATGAGGACATATTCCGGCCTGGTTAGAACTAGGGTGTAAGGAAATATATTAGGAGTTCTATCCTTAAACATTAAGTCGACTCCAGCCATTCAACCGCCCCAAGCAAGGTTGTCTATCGAATTCGCTCAAATATCCTACGTTCTGTCCATCTTCAACTTCTTAAAACAAAAGAGGCTTTCACTATCTATGAACTGGAACCTGACTGACCATTGTGTGCAAAAGGAGTATGTAAAGTCTTTGTCTCTACCTTGGGCATAACTTCATTTGGTCCTGGTGTGCTTCGGTCCTTTTTTTGTTTTTTCAACTTCCCCTTTTTGCCAGATTAATCTACTGGTCGTCACTATCATTTTATTTTTACACTTAATAGTTCCCGGTGTTACTTCATTTGATCCTCCCAATGATTGTAACTTTTAACAAACATTTTCAATTTATTCTGAGTAACTTGCTGTCTCATTCATTTTAATTACATAATCCTTTGATTTTTCACTAACTCTATCATATTTTCACCCCTTCATAATCTATAAACGATTTATAAACCACTTAACAAACTCTATCTAACCCACTTTTGTTACCATTTAACCTTTGCATTCCTTCCATTATTTAAGTTAAATCTTCCTGATGGATTGTAGTCTTTAAATATTATGCATCATCATTTTGACTATCTGAGATAGCCATGGTTTGATATGCTATGGATGATAACTGAAGGTGAAATTAAAATTTGGACCGCAGCCGGATTAGAACCTTGGAGCTCAGTTGATAGAGTACGGGGTTGGAAACCCGGAGGTCGCTGGTTAGAATATATATATATATATATATATATATATATATATATATATATATATATATATATATATATAGCTTGTATACATGTATATATGTACAGCTTGAGAATAGATTAGTTAAAAAGAGTCCTCTTCACAGAACGTATTATTCCAGTCACAGATAAATTTATGAATTTATTTCAAAAGATATTTTGAACTACTTATTAAAAAAATAGTACTACTACAATTTCTTACCTCAGTTTTTAATCTGTTTTGTTCGACAATTGATTTCACAGCCTTTTTTAGATCCTAATTTCACCAGGAAACTTAAATATGAATTTCATACTTAAGAAAGCGTCTGTCTTGTTGAAATCCTGTA